CCCCAACCCAAACCGCCACAAATTGAAATACCATTGAGAACCTGATAATAATAATAATAATAATAATAATAATAATAATGTATATTTTTTATCTGTACAAACCACTGTATGATTTGCTGCCACCTAGTGACTGGAGGCTTGTCTGTAAAAACCACTGTATGATTTGCTGCCACCTAGTGACTGGAGGCAAGCATTACAGCAGTGGTACACTTATGTCCAGTGAGCCATATTCCATTGGAAATCCCCTCAAGCCCCCCCCCCACCTCGGCACCTCACAGCACCCCCTACTACTTCCCCCTTTACTAATATTATTTTGAGCCTGGTTACAGGTCAAATTTGAAGCTGGCCTGGTAGGTAGATCTTAGTCAGTTAATATAAAGATGTTTTTTTAAAAGATTCACATCATTTTACCCTAAATTATCCTGTGATTAAAACCAGTCACTCAACCCAAGTTATAGGGAAAACCATTAATATTTCAGGTTGTGTAAATATAGGAATGCCTTGCATCACATTTCTCACTATCTAGCCTGGTCAGTCCCGTTGAAAATCTCAGCTCAGTGTTTTCTCTGTTAGAGAGTGTTACTGCCGCTAAACCAGCGATGGACTCAAATGTCAACGCAGGAAAAGACTAATTCAAATCAGGTCAAAAAATTTTACTGGACAACAAAGTTTCAGCCAATACATGCTGTGGTTTAGTCACGCAGTTCTCAAAAACAGTGGTTATACAACGAAATATTAGTTTAGTGCTTCACAGGAATGCTGAATCTTAACGTTTGTTCAGTTTGTAATGAAAAATGCACACACTGCTATTTTTTTTTTGAACAGCCTTATATAAATTTTTAAAAAAGTCATTAAAAATACTGATACTTTTTTTCTTCACGTTTTGATGTAAAATATAATGTGCAGTCTTCCCAATTCATGGAATTAATAAATATTATAAGGATGTTGAGCTTTACTCACATTTTAACACTGCTATTATTATTCACTGTTATTATTATTATTTATTAATTAATAATAATTATTTATTATTGTTATTATTCACTGCTATTATTTGGAACACAACTCTATGTCTATAAGCGTGAAGAGTAAATTCTTCCTTCTACCCTATTAACAAACTAGTATGACTTGGGCAAAAAAAAAAAAATGTATTTCAAACATTTTGTTTCGTTTGTTTATGTGTAAAAGAGAAGGACTTTGTGTGAAGGTTGGGGATCAGGTTTCTCAGATGCAACTGTTAAGTAGACATTTAGGTGCACGGTACGCACAGGTTGAACATGAAGCTAATTCATTCGAAAATTTTGAAATCTTTTAACAGTGCCCTTGTTGTCTTTCAGTGAATCGCCTGGGCGATCTCCGTGATGACAATGACCCAAATTGCACCTATGAGGGAGACAACAATGTGTTGCTGCAGCAGACCAGCAACTACTTGCTTAAATGGCTTTATGTTAAGCAAAATGGTATGGTCCTTCAATGAATCAACTCCCACTGTTTTTTTTTGTTTTGTTTTGTTTTTTTGTTGACAAGTCATTCTATTTATTTATTTATTTTTCAAAACTTTTCTTTCAGTACAGGGGGTCCTCGACTTACGCCGGAGTTCTGTTCCTACAGCGCAACTTAATCTCGTTTTTTGCCCTAAGTCAGAACTTGCATGATGTACATATATCCCTAGGACACTAGCCTATGCTAACACAGTCCAGGACACTAGCCTATGCCGACACAGTCCATCCATCCATCCATCCATTCAGCTTTGTCTCCTTATTCTGAACCAGGTCATGACCCACTTTGGGTCATGACACAGTAATAACGTCATAATCTAATAGAAAAATACCCAACACAAACTAAAGAGAGAAAAAAAGTACCAACAATCCAGTGTATTTGTTTTTTGGGAACTCTTTGGCCTTCCTTATGGCTCCCGAGCCTAAGTCAAATTCTTTTAGTGTTTTTATGTCCTAGGTTGTGATGTCACCACTGTGTTAGCGTAGTTCTGTACCATATGTGCTTGCCGACTGTGAAATTTGGTGGAGGAGGAATTATGGTGTGGGGTTGTTTTTCAGGAGCTGGGCTTGGCCCCTTAGTTCCAGTGAAAGGAACTTTGAATGCTTCAGGATACCAAAACATTTTGGACAATTCCATGCTCCCAACCTTGTGGGAACAGTTTGGAGTGGGCTCCTTCCTCTTCCAACATGACCTTCCAACATGACCTTGCTTTGTGCACCAGTGCACAAAGCAAGGGCCATAAAGACATGGATGACAGAGTCTGGTGTGGATGAACTTGACTGGCCTGCACAGAGTCCTGACCTGAACCCCATAGAACACCTTTGGGATGAATTAGAGCGGAGACTGAGAGCCAGGCCTTCTCCACCAACATCAGTGTGTGACCTCACCAATGCGCTTTTGGAAGAATGGTCAAAAATTCCTATAAACACTCTCCTCAACCTTGTGGACAGTCTTCCCAGAAGAGTTGAAGCTGTAATAGCTGCAAAAGGTGGACCGACATCTTATTGAACTCTGGGTTAGGAATGGGATGGCACTTCAGTTCATAGTAGGAGTCAAGGCAGGTGAGCCAATACTTTTGGTCATATAGTGTATATACCAAGGACACTAGCCTATGCCGACACAGTCCATCCATCCATCCATCCATTCAGCTTTGTCTCCTTATTCTGAACCAGGTCATGACCCACTTTGGGTCATGACACAGTAATAACGTCATAATCTAATAGAAAAATACCCAACACAAACTAAAGAGAAAAAAAAAGTACCAACAATCCAGTGTATTTGTTTTTTGGGAACTCTTTGGCCTTCATTATGGCTCCCGAGCCAAAGTCAAATTCTTTTAGTGTTTTTATGTCCTAGGTTGTGATGTCACCACTGTGTTAGCATAGTTCTGTAACATATGTACTGTACATATGTACAGTACGCGAGTTACGGCGTACGGCGAAAATCGAGTTATGTCGCAACCTTGGAACAGACCTCCGATGTAAATCAATGTCATCCTGTCCTGTTCACGTACATTAAGTTTAAGTGTTGTCTGCTTTCAGATGGCGTTTGCATCAAGGCTCCTTTGCGCTCTGTGGATTTCCTGAATGATTTCAATGATATTTTGAAGACCACTTTCACAGCAACAACTGCTGATGAATGTATGGACGCCAAAGGTATTGAATTAGATTTTTGTGTTCATCAAAACTTGTCAAACAAAGTAGATGAAGGAGTCTAGCCATCAAGTTAACACCTATTACCATAATTTCCGTACTATTGAGCGCACCTGAATATAAGCCGCACCCACTAAATTAAAAAAAAAAAAACATTGATTGTACATATATAGATCGCACTTTTCTATAAGCAGCAGGTGTCCACGTCGTAACATGGGATATTTACAGAGAACGATTTTTTTTTTTCACATTTAATAAAATTAATGCTTTTTTCCGAACAGTGCCTGTAACACGGCCGGTTAGACTCTTTCCTGTTTCTGCGCCCTGGCCGTATTTGGAATGTACAGGAGAGACTTAGTGATCTGTTCCAGGGCTGAAGCTAACATTAGCTTCGCTAACCCCCTTCACTTTGTACTTGTCCGCAGCAGAGGTAAACAGAAACAGTGAAGTCGGGGTCTTCATTATCAGCCACTCTGACCACAACAGAACATAAACAGCTCCTGTATAACCAACTCACTCTTCAACATGACAAACTGCTCTCAACTTTCACTACCGTTCTCTCTCTTGCGCTCCCCACGTACATATACTCAGTATAACACACAGTAGCCTACCAGAAAAGTCATTGATTGCTAGCGGTATGAACTTCGTTAGCCCGTAAAAATACATAAATTAGCCGCATCATTGTTTAAGCCACAGGGTTAAAAGCATGTGAAAAAAGTAGCGGCTTATAGTCCAGAAATTACGGTAGTTAAACCTGCTATGTTTGTCACAACTGTACTGTCTGTCATTTTGATTTTCGGCCACTTTAAATGAACAGAGATGGTGCAGCATTGCCAGCTGTTAATATTCCTGCATTTGTACATGCTAACACCCAACTTTTTGCATTTATTTACCATATGATAATTTATTTTTGTTTATCATACCAGTATTGAATGGTCAATGTTCAACCCCTGTTCTTCTCATAAAACAGTCCCATTGGAAGCATACAAGTGGCTGGTGTGTTTCCTCCTGGGCGAGAGTCGGAAAAGAGTGGAACAGCAGGTTAAATCAAACAGGAGTATGTTCGATGCCACCAACAACAGCCAGGTAGGTTATATTGGTATGTGATCGATCTTAGGATAAGATAATAATATGGCACATAAAAGTAAGAGAAGTGGCAAGGTACAATATTTATAGAAAGAATAATGACGATGTTTAGGATGGTCACTCCAGACCTGGTGTGAATCATCTTGATTAATTAGGCTCCACCTCCTTTTAAATGATCAGAATAAATCCTGAATTTTTAGATTTGATCATTTTAGGAAAGAAAATGTAGTGTGTTCTGAATTAGCTAGCAGTTTGTCAGTAAACTTCCATCTTTCATCTCAAACAGTGGTGGGCAAACTTTTTGACCCGCGGGCCACAATTGGTCCTAGAATTGAACAGGGGGGCCGGGGTCAGGAGCAGATAGATAGAGCGTTCACACAGGAGCAGATAGATGGAGCGTTCACATTCGTGTGAACTAAGATGATGTAAAAGTCATGCATAAAAGCTAAAATGCTCTTAGCATTCTCTACGCCATCTTTTGAGAAAATGTAGGCATTGCAGGGAAAGGTCAGAAATAGAATCACAATACAATCCAATTATATCATTTGGACAAGTTTGGCGGGCCGGATTACAAAGCTGAACGGTCCGCATCCGGCTCCCGACCCTTACTTTACCTGATCTAAAAAGGATCTAAGGTAAACATTTGCAAACACCTGTTACATTTTTCGAACCCATAAATTGGAACACAGATAGAATTATATACAGGTGAGACGGGCTTCTTGTGGTGCGACCCTTATTAGATTACATTATACATTACATTATATCAGTTTTGGATTTCTCAAAGTGGCGTTTTGGCCCAGAGGCAATGTCTCTGTCATTGGTGTAGAACCCCAGGGTTCACCTCCTGGGCAAGTTTGAATCCCAGTTAGGGCAGTTGGTACCTTCCAGTGGACTCATCACCTGCAGGAAGGTTCAGGGGGGTTGGGAAGTGTAAGCCAGATTCCTCTGATGTTTTCATGTCCTAGATCGGGCATGGGCAAACTAAGGCCCGGGGGCCGGATGCGACTTGTTTGGCCTTAGTGTTAATCCGGCCAACCAAACTTGTCAAAGTTATGTTATTAATTTATATCAGCATTATACTTCTGTCTTTTCCCTGCAATACCTGCATGTTCCCTATAGATGGCGTAGAAAAGACCAAAATTTAGCCTTGATGCATGACTTTTACATGTCATTTATCTTAATTCACACAAACACTCCATCTATTTGGTCCTGACCACGAGTCAGAAAGTTAGCCCACCCCTGTCCTGGATTATGTTAGCTTAGGTGAGTGACATAAGTGCTTATGGTCCAACAAAAATGGAGTTACGTCACGCGGTAAAATTGGAACCCAGATGTCGAGTGAACTTGGTATCACAAGCTGAAGTTTAAGTAAATGTCAAATAAAGTTTTGCCTTTGTAGCAGCGTAAAAACAAAATTTGAAAGTATTTGCAACCCCACTCTTACAGGTGTACTACTGCCGTTCCTTGTCCATTGCCTTCATGGAGCATCTGTGCCTGCAGAGGTTTTATGAGCTGGTGACTGATCAGAATACACCCTCCTCACTGAGACCTGTACTCGGCAAGCTCTGTGCCTTGTACGGACTTTGGAGCCTCAGCAACCACACTGCCACACTCTACCAAGGTACGCACCAGTGTTCATTTATAAACGGACAAAAATGTATGATTTAATGTTTCCTTTCCCCTTAACCCTTTCATGCATGACGGTCACTACGGTGGACAGCTATGAAATTGTCATTTTCTATGATTGACGAACTTGGCATGACGAAAATAATATTTGGAAATAACTAACCGACTACACATAAAAGACGGACATAAAAAAAACAACAACAATGTGTGTTAGTTAGTTTGTTCTGCACAGAAACAAAGGAGAGAGATGTGTTCCAATTGAAAAAGACTTCTATACATTGAATACCAATTTTATATAGCTTTTTTTTTTTTTAAACTCTCTGGAAATGTACATTCCTGAATGCCCTCTGACAGAAAACACCTTGATGCTATAGCCCGTGTAACATAGCATTCTTACTTTGTAGGGAGTTTCTTCAGCGGAAGAAAGCCGGTGGAGATTATCCAGATGGCTATTCTTACTCTCTGCCTTGAGGTACAGATACAACACTTTCTTTTTTATCTATCTATCTATCCATCCATCTATCTATCTATCTATCTATCCATCTATCCATCCATCTATCTGTCTATCTGTCTATCTATCTATCTATCTATCTGTCTATCTATCCATCTATCTGTCTATCTATCTATCCATCTATCTATCTGTCTATCTGTCTGTCTATCTGTCTGTCT